CACCGACCCCCAGCGATCGCCGCCACCCCTGCACACTGCCGCCTTGCCCCCACCTTAGCCTCCAACCCCCGTAGCCTCTGCAAAAATCGCATCTGACCACCACAGTCCACCCCCAGCCACCGCCGACGAACCCTAGCCGCGAATCTAAAAATAATGTCGCCAACGTCGCTCAGAAGAATCCTGGCCGCCGTGGATCTGGAAACATGGATGAAGACATGACCAAAGCTCCTCTCATTATCCATGGAATCTCTGACCAAGCTTCGTCCGTGGTCGTCGTTGCAGCAAAGGCGGCAGGTGCGGCGGCAGGTGGAAAACATGGTTGAAGGCGTGAATCGGCGATGAGAAGAAAAAGACGGCATCAATGATTGCAGTTGCGCGCACAGGAGAAGTCCAGAGAAGCTGGATTGAGAATGGAGGGAGGCTGTGGAAGGGTGGAGATGGGAGGTGCGATGAAGGAGGGCTGGGCTAGGTTACCGAAGAGTCATATTTTTGGGAAAAGAAAAATAAGTCATATTTTTGGAAATGGAAAACTCATTAGTAATATTGAGGCCATTTTTTCTAAGAATTTTTGTCAAAGAAACCTCTTAGGAATTAATTAGACAGATACGTACATATTGTTTGTTGATAGGCATCCTTGTAGTGTTTTGCCTGTTTATTTATTCAAATTAGTTAAAGATTTCCCTACAAATATATATGTTCTGATAGTCCCTGAAATCCTTCCAAATCTTTCATGTTGGTCCTCCTTAGATGATTACAACTCTGTAGGTTAATTGTATTGAGTAAGAACAAAATTCTATCCTTTCAGCTTGTTTAACCTATACGCACGGGCTACATATGAAAAGATACATTGCAGTATCTCTACTAGTAATTTCAAATATGTTACAACTTTGAGTTATTTTAGAAGGTCCTTAAATATTACTCCCTTCGTTCCAAAAAGGTTCGCCAAATTGACGTTTCTTGGTTAATGACAATCAACTTTGACCAATGATATTTTTTAATACGAAATTATTTAGAATATGAAAGTTATATCAAAATGTTCTTTATTCATAATATTTTCATAAAAGTATAAAATTTATAAATTATATGCAAATATAATACTTAAAATCATTGTTCAAAGTTCATTATCATTGACCAAGAAAAGTCAATATGACAAACCTTTTTGGGACGGAGGTAGTATTAGCTATTAATAACTATATATTTGTGTTCAAAGTTGTATGAGTATTTGTTGCTCTAGATTTATCTTTTTGTTTAAATTTGTTTACATTTATATTTTTCATCCGTCATATGAAAGTGTTTCCTTCATTGTCAATAGAGGCAAACACTCACTATTTTTGCTTAAGAATATATGATGGAATAAAGTAAAGAGTGACTCGCTAAAATGTTTGCGCTTCTTTGTTATGAAGTAGTATCAATCCAGTTAATTTTCGATGCGATTTTCATTATGGATCTGTTGGATAATTGATGCCCATATTGTATAAACTAGGAAATATTTGAACAAGAAAGAAGGAGAAGAGAAGAAGTATTGTGTATGAATCAATCTTGGTTGTGGTTCAATAGCCTCCTATAAGGAGTATATAGGGGAAATATGGGTCTGGGCATCTAATATGGGCATGACAGACCCGGTTACATAAATGGACTGATAGTACAAAAAACTAATCTAGAACATCTGAATAATAATAATAATGTACAATAATATGAATGATATCCGCTAAACGTGTGTGGGCCGCTGTCCAGGCCCAGTAGTCATCAGACCGGGGGGTCAGAGTCCATATACTCCATCAGGAGTCCCCACTCCCTGAGTCGAGAGTACTCGAGGCGAAAGGGAGTAGTCCAAACTGTATCTGCAATGTTCGTCTATCTTTGATTTCTTCCTCTCCGGCCCGGGGACCACCACCCTTGTCCCTGATGAGGAGATGCCTCGTTAAAAACCTTTACTAGGAAAAACCCAGTGGGAAAAAATCCTAATAAAGGGAAAAAGAGTACACCTGATGCCCCCAACATGAAACAAGGAAGGTAGGCCCTCCCCGGCATAATAACTTTTGTCTAGCTCAACCCGTCTTCATCTGACTCAGCTCTCGTTCCTGCTCATGCGTGATATTTGCTGCTCATCTAGAAAATCTGACCCCTCAGTCCCCCAGTCCCCCACTCCTTGAGGTGAGTGGAGACAAGGTAAAAAATGAGTAAAGTCATCTTCGTACCTACACATTTAACATACATATAAATTTTTTTCTAGGGATTTATGTTTCCGATTGGGAGTTCGTTGTGTGAGCCATTCGTACGCAACGATCGCCACTCTTGGAATGACTAAGACCGGTCTTCATGCCTGAGAGTCAGGGCTTTTGCCTGAGAGTCAGGGCTTTGTGCCTGAGAGTCAGGGCTTTAAATCCTAGTGATGGGTCTCAAGCCACACTCTACTAGGCATTTGATCATAAGTGCGTGATAGTGTGACATTCACCCGACAAAAATATTGATTAAAATAAATATAAATAATACTAAAATTAAAGATACTTATCTTTTTGAAGTGGGCTGAACTTGGAGTGTTGTTAAAATTGTGGCCCATCAGCAAGTTTTTATTTGGATCACCTCAGGCCTAACCCATTGCTGCTACTGTTGATCCGCCCTTGGAGTGTCGACAGAGAGAAAAGGAAGGGCAGAGCCCTTGACCCGCCATCTTGGCTTCAACTGGAGAAGGAAGGATTGGATCTGGCTACCGCCGGGCAAAGAGTTGGTGTTCTCGAACGTTGTGCCTCACGGGAATTTGTGTTCGTCGCCGGGGAAGAAGAAGCGTCCTTCGTCCAAGGTTGTCGCCAACAGAGAGTGGAAGGCGTCCAAGAATGAACGGCGTTGGAACCGCAGTGGAAGAACGAGCGGCGATGCTGCAACCGGTGTCTGGAGTCGCCTGACGACGAAGCGGTTGAGCAGAAGAAAAGCGGCGAACGGTGGTGCTACGACGCTGGTAGAGCCCAGAGCGAGCTGAAGGTACCGTCGTTGTGTGTTGATCGTCGTTGTACGCTGATGACCGGCGGAGGAGCGTGCAAAGCTTGTTTTTTCCAGATCCAGAAGTTGGGGATTCCAATATGGAAACTACACCCAGCGGCCCACGACGACTGGCGAGATCTGTGGCGATGGTGGCTAGCCGGCGACAGGGGGTGCTAGACCAGAAGTAAGGCGGCCGACCTGGAACTAGATCGGGTGGCTCATGGTGGCTAGCCGGTGGTGGTTGGCCGGTGGCGGTGGTGCTAGCCCAGAAGCGGGGCGACCCACCTGAGGCACGAAGGCGCGGTGAAGGTTGCTCCGGCCAGGTTTGGGAAATCCCGGATCTACCATGCCAGAACACTTTGTTTTGGATTTTCAGATTGTTTTTTGACCGATTTTCTGTGATTTTGGGTGAATTTTTGGGTAATTTGGGGAGGTTTTCTCACTTGATTGTGTTCAACCTCTCAACGAGAGCACCATTATTGGATAATTGATAACCATATTGTATAAACTAGGAAAGATTTGAACAAGAAAGAAGGAGAAGAGAAGAAGTATTGTGTATGAATCAATCTTGGTTGTGGTTCAATAGCCTCTTATAAGGAGTATATATAGGGAAAATCTGGGTCTGAACCTCTAATATGGGCCTGACAGACCCGGTTACATAAATGGACTGATAGTATAAAAAACAAATTTAGAACATCTGAATAATAATAATGTACAATAATATGAATGATATCCTCTAAACGTGTGTGGGCCGCTGTCCAGGCCCAGTAGTCGGCAGACCGGGAGGTCGGAGTCCATATACTCCATCAGGATCATTCCGAAACAATCTCTGATCTCTATATTTTTGTCTAAGAGTAAGACTGCGTACATCTAACCCCCCTTACCTCATCGTAGTGGGAACCTTTGCGGCACTTGGGTAATGTTATTGTATACGTTCTATGAATTTGGTACAAGTATATTTTCATGATTCTATAATTCATTTTTGCTTTATTTCACACCAACTCATTCAATACCAATGACATAACCTCATATTCCCTCGGTTCTTAATTTTTTTGAAAATCCCCCAATTCTTAAATAAAATTCACACTTTTATTTTTCAGCAAATCCAAAATAAATTTCACACCTATCTTTGGTAACTATTAATACTCCATCCATCCCATTGAACTTTGCCAATTTTCGCTTTTTGGTTGTCCCAAAAAACTTTGTCACTTTCCTATTAAAACAACTAATTTGTGCTTCTGCACATTTCTCTAACCTCTGCACAAATCTCAACCACACAGTTTTTACTACTCTTATTTCTTACCTACTTTGCACTTGGTAAAGTCTGCCGGGACGGAGGTGGTATAAAGGTATCATTATACTCTTACTTTATTATCTACTTTGCAACCACTTTGTCTCTCCCACTACACCCCACATAATTTACTTTTTGCAAAGATAGGATGATAAAGTCAAAAGCAAAAATTTCATTTCTTAAAAAATCGTAAAGTCAAAGTATGAAGTTTATTTAGAACGAGATTAAATATTTGATAATAATTTAATCACACCATTCAATTCAATCATGTTCTAATCGTATGGGACGGTAGTAAGAGATTGCATGACACTAAATCCTTGATTCTAGAAAGAACATCAAAGATCTCTTAATTAACAAAACACGTATATATCCATCATAATCTCCTGGCTTTTCGTTGATTAGTGCACGTACTGATCAATCAATGAAGTAGTAGTTCAATTAAAGGAGAAAGCTTCTATATATAGTTGGTTGGTTTACTTCATGATTTAATAATTAGTGTATGTGAATGGAAAACTTTTATCCTTGGTTTCCCTCACATGATCAACAAAATGATGGTGAAGATTTGTATAGGCTTTTCTCCGCTCCTCCTCTTATAGCTGCAGGAGGGTTAGCGACTAACAACCCCACGTTCAAAGACGACGTCGCTTCCTTACAAGGTCCACCTTTACTCCCACAAAAAAATCTGGATTTGGATAACACCGCCGGAAAGTGGGAAGAGGGCAGTCGGCGGCAGAAGTCTCCGGCGGCGGCGCAAGGGGAGAGCAGCACGAGTGATGATAAGCAAAAGAGAATGATGCATAGAGACATTGAAAGGCAAAGAAGGCAAGAAATGGCCAGCCTTTATGCTTCTCTCCGCAGTCAACTCCCTTTAGAATACATCAAGGTTAGTTCATTCTAAGTAATTAAATGGGTCAAAATAGGAGTAAACTTAGAATAAAATTAAATAAATATGACTAGTTGCAACATTAAAATTTATACACTATTCATGTACTCTATTTTGACTACATTGTTTTTATTAAGGTATATGATTTACTTTTTTGAAAAATTTTGTTGAACTCGTCTCATTACAAAGTTTCATAATCTGGTTATCAAAATTTGTTTATTAAAAAGAATCAAATATAATGACGGTACAAGTTGTGCATTAGAAACATGAAAAAGAAATGATGTCACTAAAAAAGAACAGAGGAAATACGTGGTATCAAGTTCGACACATCCATTTTATACGGAGTACTTTTAGGATGGTTTGCATCGTTGGAAAGTCACTCCACATAAATCAACCTTCTTCAAATGAACTTTGAACGAAAGGTTGGAGCCATTGGAAAATGTGATATTAAACATTAATGAAGGTAGCACGAGGCAAAAATCACATTGAGGGGCGGAGCCAGTGCATCGGGCCGGACTGAAGCGCTACAAAAAATATTTTTTGAAACAATTTTACGCGAAATTATTAAAAATAAAAACATGGGCATTTCTTAAATTTGGGGTGAAAATGAGCCTATGTTGCCCCCTAGCTACATCTCTAATAGAGTTTAAAACAAAAATGGACACTCTCATATGCCTCCTTAGTTAGTGTTGCGATTTTGAGCTCTCCTAGAAAGATGAATGGTAAAATCAGAGTAGCCTATGACCCAATAATAAGTGTAATACATAGTACTTAGTATTAAAGCTTTAACGATAATAAGTACTTAGTATAATACTTAGTATTAGAACCATTCATATTTAGTTAACTTTAAAGCTAATAAGCATGACATTAGTCGTTAGAGACAATACACGTGCACACATATAGACATTCTTTAAATGAACCATATATGAAACCATTGCAACTATATAAGTAATTATAACACGAGTAGAAAAATAGAAAATGGGTTAATTCGTAGTTAGTTTTTTTTTGAGTTAATTCGTAGTTAGTTTAGCATAGCTAAGACGGGGAACTTAGGGTTTTGTGGAAAATGTTTGTGTGTAATATGTGAAATGTTGGACATATACTTATTGGTAAAGATAGTACTGGAAAACTAAAACTAACGAAGAATTGAATAAGGTTATTGTTCACTGAAATAAAAAAAATTGACTTTATTTAGGGTTTCAATTGAGGGTGGATTTAGTTAACGCTACAATAGGCTTAAAACTAAACCAACTTAATTTTCTACCGGAGTATTAATTTTCTCATGTAATAAGCTTATTCTATTTTCTCTTGAGCCTTAACAAGTATCATGATCTTTCAGCCCTACCTAAAAAGAATCTTAAATGTACCACTGATTTTGTCCCATCTTTTATGGGCAGGATACATTAAATCTTTAGTGCTTGATAAATGATACGCAAAAGACTTTGTTACATTTTCCCTAGTAAAATACGATCATGTTTTTATGTTTTGCATATTTTATGGACAGAACACATTAAATCTTTAGTGATTGATACCTGATATGCAAATGTGCAAATCAGTTGGTTACATTTTCCCCATTAGAATTGGATCATGTTTTTATGTTTTGCATGTGTTTATTGTCTTTCTGCGTTACACCTAATAGGGAACAACATTTTAAATTTTAGACACAAATAAGGAAACAATATAATTTGGGAGTTTTCCTAAAATATTACTAATAAAAAATCTATGAACAAAAATGTTATTATAAATTACTATACGTAACTTTTATAATCAATAGCATATAACATGCATTTGACTAAAGTTATAGTCACTAAGATTACTAAAGTGATGAATTAACTAGGGAAAACGTTCAGCATCTGATCATGTTTTGGAGGCAGTGAAGTACATTGAACATAAGCACAAGATCATCCGTGAGCTGGAAGAAAAGAGGGACAGATTGAAGAGACTAAAAAGTGTTGTTTTTAAAGGCGAAGATGAACCCATAGCTGTCTTACCAGCAATGGTTACAGTCCAGCCATGCTTTGCTAATTATGGGGTTGAGATCTTAATAAACTCTGGGTCTCCCAAGCAAGGGTTTCGGGTTTCGAGGGCGCTTTCCCTACTGGCCAAACAAGGCCTTAATGTCATTAGCTGTGTATGCTCAAGAGTTGAGGATAGAATGCTCCACACCATTAGAGCTGAGGTGGTCTAATCTTTTCATTCCCATTCAGTTCCCTGCAAAAAGATTTTAATCATTAATTTATGATTCTATATATAATATAATTGCTGTTAACAATAAATTAATATCACACGCTTGCTGGATTTGATTATGTGAGATATGCATATTTTATGGATGGGATGTTCTTGCAGGTTAGTACACAGACAAGAGTTGATCTTCAAGAGCTGCAACAGAATCTGATATATGCTCTTAATAACAAACATCATAACCCCACTAATAATTCGAACTGATGAGTATATATATATATATCTTGATCCACTCATTTTAAATTAATAATTTACGGAGTATTTAATTTGTTTTGTTTTATTCCATTGATATATGGATGCATTACAGTTTCATTGTACAATATGTATATGTAATAAATCGTAGGTATATGTCATAATAATGTTGTTTTTATTATGTACTCCCTCCGTTCCTATTTTATCTTCCAAATTGGTTTGGCACACAATTTAAGATAGTGGGTATTGTGTGGTGGAGAGTTGCGTAGAGGAAAGAGAAATGTGTAAGAAATGTTGTGAACCACTAATTCTTTACTAAAAAGGAAAAGTGAAAGTTTTAATTGGAACGGACGAAAAAGGAAAGTTGGAAGTTTTAATAGGAACGGAGGGAGTACTACGTATATGTAAGAATACCCTTAATGAAAAACCTAATTGTATTATTAATAATAAATCAAAATTACAATGAAAAACCTAATTGTATTATTAATACATGATTAGAGATATGAACACTGCAAACGGAGGCTTTGACTGCCACGACACCTTCACGGACTCCGGCACAGACGGCATGATTGCATTGGTTTTTGAGTGTTTATGTTTATACTTTTAATTAATTTTTACGGTGTGTTGTTGTGGTAATTATTGAACATTTACGGTGCAATCATTTTATTTTTCTAGTTTGTTGTAATTTAGTAAATTTAGAATCATCACGAACAAGAATCAATCAAGGATCATGGAAGAGATCCTACAAGATCAAAGGAAGGTGCAAGGGAGCAAGAAATCATGCTAAAAATGTGATTTGGTAACTTACCCTGTCGGGTAGGCTCTTTCCCCGTCGGGTATGAGTTGAAAACGGAAGCTACTGGGAAATTACACACATACCCGATCAGGTATGGCACTTTACCCGGTCAGGTATGAAGTGATCCGGACAATTAAACGTGCTGAAAAACACAAGAACGTGGGAAATATTTGATTTTGACGTTTACCTGGTCGGGTATGTGCATTTACCCGGTAGGGTATCCGCCACAAGGTGTTGAAAACACCTGTAAATAACACATTTTTCCTTCACTTTTAATCATCCCTTCTTCCATACTCTTAAGCTCAACTTAGAATAACATTTTCTTTATATTTTTCTAGCATTGTTTAGAAGTTGTTCTCTTCGTCTGATCTGAATGTTTCTGATCTGATTTTTTTAAGATCTGATCTGATCTGAATTTTTCTGATTTGATATGATCTGATCTGAATCTTTTCGATCTCATCTGATCTGATCTGATCTGATTTGATCTGAATTTTTCTGATCTGATCTGAATGCTTCTGATCTGAATCCTTCTGATCTGATCTTAACTTTCTAAACCGGTATATAATAACATTAATATTAATAATAATAATTCTAATAATAATAATAATAATAATAAATAATATCAATAATAATTATAATAAATTAATAATTGATGGAACTAAATCCACCAGAAAATAATTAATAGATAGCTGAAAATAATTAAAGCACTCAAAATAATACTTAGAGAGATAATTGTATGTATTATATTCAATTGTATTCAGCCTGATTAACTTTCCAAAGGTTACATGATTTTATAGTAGCAAATAAGACAAAAGATTTGGGCGACGTGGTCGCCATGTTCGAATTGATATGCAAATCAATAATCCGGATCCAAGGAATCCTTTGTTGATTGTGTGAATATCTTGAAAAGACGTCGTTGATGTAGTTTGTCGTACGGAGTCGCCATGTAGCTTTTGCCATGATGCCCAGAGACACCATGTGTAGATTATTTGGATAAGCTTCTAAGTGCTATGTCCAGGGTCACCGTGAACATTTCAATATATAAGCTAGCGCATCCAAGGCTATAGTGCACTCTGGTCTTCTACTTGCGTCCATGGTTGCTGTGGACGTGCTCTTTGGATAAGCTAACCATGACATCCACAGTTATTCCGTGCTCCCTGGTCTTCTACTAATTTCCGTCCACAGTCACCATGTACAATATTTTATCCTCTAACTTGCGTGTGGTCACCACGTATGAGCTTCTCTTATACATTATCATCATTCGTACATAGTTACCGTGCACATCAACTTTCAACCTGTTTTCATCCATGTTAACCCGATCAACATTTATCCATGGTTAAGATAATTATACCATCAATAATAATAACTATTATTATTATAATTATAATTATTTAATAATAATAATAATAATAAAATAATAATAGTAATAATAGTAATAATAATAATAAGAATAATAATACTAATACTACTACTACTACTAATAATAATAAATAATAATAATAGTAATAATAATAATAATTATACTACTACTAATAAAACAAATAATAATAATAATAATAATGGAGTATATGTTCTAGAGAGAAGTGAGAGCTAGAGAGAGAAGTGCAATTAGTATTGCAATAAATGAATTTTGTGAACCCCTACAACTACTCTCAAAGGGAGTATTTATAGAGAAAAATTGGGTTGGGCTCCCAAGTCTTGGGCTTTGGAGGCCCGATTACAATGGTGCCTCTAATGGGCCAAATACAAAGTATGTAAATTGACTAAGTATGGAATCCGGTTCTGTGAGCTTTCTGTGGCCGACGAAGGTCAAGCCGACGGAGCCATGGCTGACGGAGCCATGGCCGATGGAGACACCCGGCTCTCCTGACTTCTGGATCATGTTCTGAATTGACATTTTTCTGGCCGATGGAGGGTGTAACACCCCGGCCCCGTAGGCCCCGAATTAGTTACTTCTGACCTCTAGTACTGTCCTCACAAACCACCACTAGCTTTTTCCGCGCACTTTGTCCTCACTCATGCACGTCCTGAGAAACTTCCCAGGGGGCCACCCATCCCAAGACTACTCCCTTAAAAGGAGATGCACCTTGTTGGTATAAGTAGTACTATTAATCCATTCAAATTAAATCTCAAGAATTACAATCACTCCCACTTAGGAACACAATGTCCTCGTTGCGCCCATAAACCAATCTCAATCATATCCCAGAATCTTGCCTAGGGTGAAATGGCTCAAAGCGCGACACGTCAGAATCAATTATGAGATGGGTGAAGTATACAACTGCAACAACGTCGTATCGTCTATGCACCATAACGTCCAGGACCATTGGGCAGAAGACTCTTCTGATGAAGAGGAGGAGGAAGAAACTTTGCACTAATGGCTCCTGTGGAAGATGAAGAAGAAAAAAGGGTGATGCTGCGATCCCCGGAAATGAATGCTCAACAAGCGTTGTAAGTACATCTGATCTTCCTTGCTCTTGCCATAATCAAACTCAGTCCTTACTCGATAAGGACAACATCATTAAAGAACTAAGGGAGAGATTAGACAATAATCACAAGATCTTAAAGAAGAATCTGGACCAAAAAGTCTCTCTCAGCATTCAATTAGATAATGCAAAAGAACAAGTCAAAAAGGTAACCTTAGAGTAAGAAAGTCTAGAACTTAAGATAGCTGATATAACTAAGAAATTGCAAGACAATGAGAGAGAGAGAAAAGCATAGCAAAGGTTGATAACGATTTTCTTCAAAATAAAAGAAGTGACCTTTATCGTAAAATCAAAGAACTTGATGATCTGATTGCTAGGAGAGGTCAATCAGAACAAACTATTTTTCTAAATCAAATTAGTGATGACCAGTATTACAATCCCATATCCGGACTTGACATGTCTAATCCATGTTATTTAATGAAAGTTTATTGCATTCAGCTTTATGACTTAGATTACATGAGAAAAGAATATTTTGACAAAATGGATTATACCGGTGAAGAAGAAAATTCTAAAGAAGAAGAAGAAAAGAGAAATAACCTAAGAACGGAAACTTCTTTCAGCTATCATGATCTAAATGAGAGCTATAAAAACATAAAACAAGTGTTTTCAACTGATGAGTGTGTAAATCCTTATGCTCTTGTTAAAGAAGATGTATCAAACCAAGGACATCCCTTAGATCCACCTCCAACCATTAGTATCTCTAAGTTTGAAAAGGAACCCTGTATTTTTCCAATGGCCCCAAAACTAAAGGATTTGCAGAAAACTCTAAATAATGAGAGAGAAAGGTTTGAATCTGAAAAGAAAGGTTTTGAAAGTAATTGGGATTTTTTTTGAGTGAATTTAATCAATTGAGCGAAAAGTTTCATTCAAAAACAACCCCCCAATCAAATTAAGCTTTCAAAAGGAACGTCCTCTCACCCCTCTTCTCCTTCGTTCACAGGACAAGAAGTGAATAAGAGAGAGGAGAAGAAGGAAGAGTGGACGCTGAAAAGGGAAGAAATAGATGAAGGAAAGAAGAACGCGTTTTCTGAGAAACTGTCCCGTTCCTGTTCTAGTTCTCTTTTGTATTAAAAAATTAAATGTAACTCTGGCACTGTCAAGCAATCTCCTAGTCATTCCGTCTTGAGTTCCAAGCTGAAAAACTCTGTGTCATCTTTTGGACATCGTTCTATTCATAATTCTAGTATTGCTTATGATTATTCTGTTCCAGATCCTCATAATTATGAATGTGATATTAATGTTGTTAAGGTAAAATCTCTAAGAGAGCACAAACCAAGAAAGAAAACCAAGAATAGAACTTTTGAGGGAGTCTTCTGCTTGCCAAATTTAAAATATCCCCTCAAAGTTCATTCTAGGAAACATCTAAACAGACTCTCAAAAGAGAAGATTTTTAAACCTTTCCTCACTAAAAAACCATTCAATCACAAAGCACATGTCTACTCTCCCACTACAATCAAACAAAAGTGG